CGCCTCAGGACCCAGCCAAGTACCCACAGTCTACGTCTCAGGACCTTGCAATGCCCTCAGGATCTCGGGCACCATCTCTTAATCGGACAGTGAGATTTTCGGAACCGCAGAGCGAGTTTCTGGGACAGCCAATACAAGGACACGATAACAGTAAGTATAATTGCACGAGGTAATGTAAGAAGGATAGTTTGTTTGTTAACCTTGCAATAGGGACGACATGGTAACTCTAACAGTGAACTTTATACGTTCGTAGCCGAATGTTTTCAGATATCGGATAATTGGTACCGATATGTGAATGTTCGAAACGAAATCTGAAATCTGACCTTAGATGATATCTGTACATTATTATGTTTTTGAATGCATGTACAATAGATTGCACTATTCACAATATTAGTTCTCTTTCGACGTAGATGTATGAATGTATACGTTGGTTTAACAGAATCATAATAACAAAATATCCCATTTTTTCCCCCTCCTACAAATGTTATCGTAATATATTTCATATCTTTTCACCCTTCTCTCGTCTTCCATAGAATCCCCATACACCTGTTGCAGAATATACGTATCCCCCCTTAGATCTAAATATCACCACAACTAACAACCCGAAACAATTATTTTCCTTCTAGATTTGCTCCTGAAGCCGGTACACCCCCATGTCGTCATCTACAACCGCGTACCGAAGTGTGCGTCAGCTACAATGCTCCGTATATGCCTTGGGTTCGTTATCCCCACAACGACACACGTACTTATTAATAGAGTAAATGCACTTCCGATTTTCAGTCTAGATTGAGGCTGAGGTGGTTCATGATTCAGTAAGCTCTCCTGGTTTGAGAAATAGGCCTATAATGCACGTGTATATTTCTGTGCAATTGGAAGGTTGCACTGCAGGAATGTAGCGATTTTTCCCTTTTTTCTTTTTTTTTTCTCTTCCTCATTCTTGTTCTTTTCTTTTCTTTTTCTCTTTGTTTCTTCCACTTCTTCTGCTCCTCCTTCTTTTCCTTCTTCTCTTCCTGCTGCTCCTCTTTCGCTTCCTCCTCCTCATCATCATCATCATCATTATCATCCTTAATAATATTGTTTTTTCTGCTTCTTCCTCTACTTCTCCTTCATAATCTTCGTCTCCTCCTTCACTCTTTTTTCTTCTTCTGCTTCTCCGTATCATCCTTCTTCTTCTTCACCTGTTTCCCCATCTTCTTCTAGCCTTTATCTGGGGATTCCAGCTAATAATAACGATAAATGCCTGAGGTAAAAGATGGACACCGCACTCCAGATCCCTTTGGAAATTGTATAAACTAGAGCTTGTTCCTTCAGGAGTGTGAATGGAAACATGAAACAAAAAAAAGAAAGAAAGAAAAGAAAGAAATCTAGATGTCGGTGGAGCAACGTCTGAACAGGGCAGTGAAAACTTAACATATATATATCGTAGGCCTTAGATCATTGTCCCCTTTCCCTGTAAGTTCAAAACTGAAACGAATCCGTAACACAGAGCGACCTGTTATATATTACCTTGTCATTCGATATTTAGACCACATTTTTCCAGCTGTTTGTCATTGTCTGTGATTAAGTTCAGTTCATGGTTTTCGAAAATAATCTTCGCAGAGTTCCTATGACTCAACCTCTACAGGTAATTACAGTTAACTTACCTAAATCCTCTTACGAATGACTCACCTGAATCCTCTTACGAATGACTCACCTGAATCCTCTTACGAATGACTCACCTGAATCCTCTTACCACTAACTTACCCGAGCCATTTAAGAACTGATTTACCTGAATCATTTAACAACTGACTTTCCTGGATCATCTTAAAACTGACTTACTTGAATCTAACAACTGGCTTTCCTGAAAAATAATCATTGCTTAATGGTTACCCCGTTGGCTGGAACGCTTCTAGATGCTGGTTATACATAGCCAAAGTACCAGCCCGATTATCTTGTTCCATGCTTTGTTCTGGAATTCCAAGTGTCCTGAACTTATTTATTGTTTATGTGATTTCTAGTTCTAGTCTTCTAGCGCTATATGAGATCAGCCAGATTAGATAATATATATATGTATATATATACATATATATATATATATATATATATATATATATATATATATATATATATATATATATATATAATGTGTATATGTATGTGTGCAATAGAGTATAAACATATCTACCTTAATCTGAACATAATTCCGAAACTGTCGTCTTCCCTCCCGCCAATCTGAAGACCAATATGCCAATAATAAACCAACACGACAAAAAAAATCGCAGATTCCCATTCTTACCCAAACAGCTTATCAAAGAGCAACAAGTTCTCCTTCAACAACATGAGGAATCTGGGGAAACACAAGACCAAGGCTGACCAGGTGAAGCTTGCCAAGTGGATTTTCGGACGTTCCTTCACCTCGAGACATTTCTTCTTCGAGCACATGTCTTACTTCAATTTCAGCAGGTGTGTTGGTTCACGTGGTGGTTCGATTTCCGTGGATGTTTTAAAAAAGGGGTGTAAG